GAATTTTTATAAATATCTTTTAATTAACTTATAATAAAATTTAGCTTCGGATTTATAATGGCTTCCATTTCCTAGTTTATTTAGAATTTAATATCTATTTATTTAGTTTTGAATCAATCAATGCCTAAAAACTTTGATATCGATAGTGAGCTTAAAAAAATGCTTGCCGAAAAAAAAAATTCGTTAATTTGGATTCCTTACAATGAATTTAAAGACATTGATAAGATAGGGCAAGGAGGGTTTGCAACTGTGTTTTATGCTCGTTGGCGTGATAGAGGTGTTGCACTTAAATTACTTCATGGATCAAGAAATAATAATAAGGAGTTTATCAGAGAGGTATTTTTTTATTCAAAACATTAGAAGTTATACTGGTTTAAACTATTTAGTAACCTTTTCTTACATTAAGTTAAAGGCATATTGCGATATTGGTTATAAAAATACATTTTTAAAATGCTATGGATTATCTCGAGATGAAACTTCTAATGATTATATAATTGTTACTGATTATGCGCCAATGGGTTCTTTGCGTAAAAACCTTCATTTAATGGCACAAACTGAATGGAAAGATAAGTTAAAATTATTAGTTAGTATTGCTACTGATCTTCAAATAATTCATTCACAAAATCTTATTCACCGAGATTTGCATAGTGGTAATATACTTCTAGAAAATCTATATAGTGCATATATTGCAGATTTGGGTCTTTCTGTGTCAACTAATACAGAGTATGATGGAGTTTATGGGGTTTTACCATATATAGCACCTGAAGTTCTTTGTGGAAAACCATATACCTTAGCATCTGATATTTATTCATTTGGTATTATCATGTGGGAGGTTTCTTCCGGAAAAGCTATTCCTTTTGATCATGAATCTAGAGATCAATTTCAAATTCTAGTATGCGATGGCTTACGTCCAACTATTATTGAAGGTATCCCGCATTGTTATGTTGAACTTATGAAAAGATGTTGGGATGTAAATCCAAAGAATCGACCAATTTCCGAGGAAATTTGTAGAACTTTTACAGATTGGCAAAATGACGCAAACATTTTAGCAGAATTGAACAAGTTTAATGAAATATTGGAAAATAAGGAAAATTCTCGTGAAAAAATATACTCAGAAGCAATTTATACAAGTGAATTCATTCCTTACACTAAGTCGTATTGCTACGGTAAATAATATGTACTAATTTTATTTATTTATTTTTTTAACATATATTAAATTAACATTGCTTATATATTTTAGATAGCCAACAACCTTATTTAAATATAAAAAAATAGCTGTCTAGAGTGTTCTCTGTAAATTACTTAAGGATCAGGATCGTATAAATTATATTCATGTCTTTAATGTTTATTCATTCATACTCAAGCTTTCGTTATATTCTCTTAGGCTTAAATATCATATACTATAATTATATTCGTCTATATATGAATAAAATAGAATCAATTCAAACTTGATATGAAAGCATTTTTCGAAATTTAATCAACATTAATAAACAAGATTATTGGCCTTAACAATCATATTATAACGCCATAAAAACATTGAAATAATAATAATGCCTAGAGCCGATGGTCCTGCTCAAATCGAATAGCGTTCACTTTTGCAGAAAAAGAAGAAGCGTGGGAGGTTAATAATATACGATGATACGATTGGCACAGTGTAATTAAAAAATCAGAAGATTATTAACCAATCACGTCGGGATCGCCGCATCCGAGATTTTTACATTAGCCTTGCTAGCTCCGCTATTGATTTTCAACACATGTTTTCGTGTAACCTAATTTTTACCACATAGACTAGAAATACATTTTAATATAAAAGTATTTTTTTTGTTAATGATGAACTTCACTAAGAATAAACATTTCGGACATAATGCTCATAAAAATACCAACCTTATTTTTAAACTTCGTGGGTTGGATCAATGCGATTACCAGTAAAGCGATCCACGATTTATCGGCATTATATAATCTCTCGCTAATTAACATTCATTCTTATTTTGTGGAATGATTTGCATGACTATCTTCGATTACGCAAGAATACATTCTATTAGTAATAAAGAAATGCTAATATCAGATTGATTACGTTTACTATCAAGTTAAAAAATCGTTCTCGCATCTTCTCTACTTAATGTGAAAAAAATAAAATCATCAAACTTAGTTTCACTTATCTTAAAAGCTGTTTCACGAAAATTAAGGATGAAAAATTTTTTAAAAAAAAAAATTGCGTCAGCCAGATGCTGTATATACAACTGAAGTGTCGTTGTGTGGTGGCAGAACAGCGGACCATTCAAAGAAGTGCGCCTACTGATCATACCATCTTTTCAACAGCACATTACGTCGCCACACAACTGTCCACTGATAGACATCGTAAGTCCACCCTTGAACATCGATTATAACAGAGTTAAATTTCGAAACACGACAGAAATATATATACAGACTGGAACAGGTCGTTACGTGGTGGCAATGGGGCGGACCATTCAAAGAAATGCGCCTACTGACCAAACCATCTTGTCAACGAAGCACTAGAGTGCAACGTCGCCACGTAACCATTCACTGATGTCCAGCACCCTTGATACGCCGGTCGTTTTCAAACCGGAACACTGACAGTCTGTGAACGCGTAGCACTCCATTGAAAAAAAAAGTTGATGCTGATTATCGATTTTTAGGATCAGTAGCGGAGTACAGTATTACATAATAATCGAATAATCGGTAAATTCTATTGGTCTATTTAAAAAAATTCTTTTACGCGTATTCATCATATACACCGTTCGTAATGCTGACTTGGGTACGCGATAACCTCAAAAGCCTCAAACCGAAGAACTTTTACGAAAGATATTCCTACTCGCACACCTCACGGAAGCATGCCGAAGAAAAATTGCGAGAGTTATTAACGGCAATCAAGAATGAGAACAATAGTTACAATCGCAAGTTGGCGATTTGTTTCCTAGATAGTTTCGAGGTAAATTGGAAATTTCTCCACCAGCTGTCAGCGGAGATACTATCTTGATTAATTCGCTTGTTTTTTTTTGATAGCCGTGGACGCAGTCAATCGACTGTGAGAAGTATTGGTTGAATGTAGAAGTCTTACTCCGCAGGGTATGTTTAGATTTTTGTCATTATTAGAGAGATCTCTGGCTTATTACTTGATGATTTGACCTTAATAGTCGGCACACGAAGTGTTAGGACGAAATTCAGCGTATGAAACGATCAAAAACTTCGTTAAGAAGATTAATGACGAAGAAGAGACTCTGGATGAATTCCAACCGCCATCAAAAAGGTTTAAGGAGGATGAACAGTCACATACTCCAGAAAATAAGGTAGCTGTATTTTCCATTGTGTTGTTAATATATAACCCCCAACAAAAATGTTTTATCTCGGGTGTGCACAGATCAGAGCCGTCAGTTATGGAATGTTTCCGAATGAAAGCTCACCCGGGATGACGACGACTTCGTTGTATGTGCCATCTTCTCCCGATTCCATTACTAGCGAAGACTTTATAAAGACAGAAAAGCACAGTTACCGTATGAATTACCTTAATGAAATATTACAACGGTTTTTTATTTTTTTTATTCTAAACAGTGGGTTGTAAATAGCATCGACATTTCCGAGATATGTCTCGAGTATCGTGCAGTAGTGGTTAAAAAATGCGAATCCATGGCAGTCATCCTGAGTGCTATTGAGGAACTGTTAGTATCATGTAGTAATATTGGTAGTAAATATACCATGACTAAGCCTTTCTCTTTTTTTGCAGGGCTTTAAGCCATGTGTTTGTTTTTCAGGAAGAAAGCCCCCACGGACTGTGCGAATATTTCGACGATGAATTATGGGAAGAGCTTTTTGTTGAGTTTCGAAAACTGTATCCGTACGCATCAATCCCGGAAAAGATTTATGATTTGTCATCAAACATTATTAAGGTAGTACATTTAACTATTGTATTTCTTTCGAGAAAGCGTGCCAATTCTGATTATGTGAGTCTATTAATGTTTTCAGATCGCGTCCGAGGGACTAAATTACAAAGAACGTCAAACAATTGCAAGGCGCTACTTACGATCTTTTGAGACCACAACTGAAGAAGAAGAAATAATGATAGAAATATTCAGTGGCTTGTATGTTTCGTGAAAACTGAAATAAAATTTTCTGCTCAAAATGAACTTATTTTCATTTTATTACAGGGTTAACAATGAGCATTTCTTGTTTATGAGAAATAATAACGTTGAGGACACCCACGCTATTCAAAACGTCAATTCGATAATAGTAAGGCCCTTTTTCAAGAGTAGTAGAAAAATTACTTTTGAAGGGTACGTGTCGATAGTGAAGTAGTATTATGTTTATAATATTAATAAACCCAATCCTTATTTTCTGTTTTCATTCACAGGGCGAACAAAATGTGTGAGTCATCCGCAATTGCCAAAAGACGCTTTGATCCTGTTCTTCTGGGCACGAAGCCAGATTTCACCGTCATGACGACAAATCCTAAGAAACATGTTGAGTTGCTCATTGGTGAGGTAAAACCACAGAAAACGAGAGATGCACTTGTTTCGGAGGATCTTGTCTCTCTTGGAAAAATGATGAAGAACGCCTTAGATAAATCAATTAAGGATGGCATAGATGATCTGGTCATTTGTGGCCTGCAGGTGATTGGTAAGTACATTTTTTGAAAATAAATAATAATGCCACTCGTTTTCTATATAGACAATTTCATTCTTTGTTCTCAGGGTTCGTTGGAAGAGCCTACGTGATGGACCTCCGGTTTGAAGGGATTTATCGCATGATATTGATTGGAGAGTTTGAGCTTCCGAGGGGTTTCACGTCATGGGGTTCTGTCTTGCGGTGTTATAGGGTCCTGAACACAATTCGGGTAAGCCGATGATCAATTGTGTGGATTTATATATGTTTATTATTATTAATCTTGATGTACCTTTTCTAGGTTATGGTCAATAATATGGCTACTTTATACCAGTCTGCTATAAGAATGAACATCAAACAAACGCAATCAGAGAAGATAAAATTGATCAAGCCGATGTTCCATAGCCCGATGAAGATACCGATTTGAAAAAAAGAAAACTCTGAATTACGATATGCGAGGATACTGAAAATAATATTGATAAGGTAAGCGAAACATAATATTGCCTTAGAAACGTCATAAAGTTTTACTGTTATTTACCGGGTTCTACTTAATAGGTCCCGATTTTTATGCCATTTTGTTTCTCAAACACTTATCATATGACATCGAGCCCTAAGAGAGCAACCTCATGTGATGCATATATGTAATTTATATAAACAATAATGCCACAAACATGATATACAACTACCTTTTCTACTATAAAACAGTGAGGTCTGCTCTACACTCTCATCTCAAATATACAACAAAATATGTATCTTTCCCATTCTCAAATATCGCTCAACCTCTCAAAATACAATTAAACAAAAATTGAATCATATTATTCTAGAGTATATAGTTATTAAATCAAATAGGTCTAAATATCCTAATCGATAAATATGTCTGGCGCTACTATTATTGATAAAAAAGATAAAGCACTTCCTAAACCATATATTAATCGTCCTGGTTTTGATATGAAGTATGCTGTATCATATTTATTACATTATGTCAGAACTTATGCTAATGAACTCGAATTTTCGATAATGAGAGATTATTTGACACTTTATCTATTACAAAAACAGAATGAAACACTGGTTCAATGGGCAATACGAGTCAGGGTACCTTTACAGGATTTGTTAAATGCCGAAAAATTTAATATATATCACCGGCTATGTTTATTCGCATCATTTGGTAAAGGCAAATTTGTCAATTTCAATTATTATAGACCAAGAATCCACAAAAGTCATATGGCTATTTGTTTTGGTTGCTGGAAACTCATAAGAATCGATGATATACAGCCCAAAAGATCATTCCATTTTACCAGACGAAGATATGTTAATTATCTCGTACCTAGCGATTTGATGATCAGTCATTGGGATAATGAATGTGATAAACCAAAGACCGATTTCGGAAAAGAAAGGATTATACAAAGAGCCTGGAGAAATTACAGAGGCCTGAATCATTAGCAACCCAAGCTTGGAATTCTCTAAAGACAGATAATTATCCCAACGATAAGAAGTTTTTAGGCATAACTCCTCAAAAAGTAATCGTTCTGATGGTTATGGTTACATTGACTATAATGGAAAACGATTATGTTGGCATTTCAAAAGTCCTAAATTGTGGACAGAATCCAAGAAGAGTCTTTTAACTTACAGACTATACGACTATGCGGTAAATTTATTGCAACAAAATGGATACGATAGGTAGAGAATCCTGATCAATATCTTAATAATGGCTGTTGAGACTTTGCCAGAATATACTGTAACTATTTTACATAACTATTTATTATATAACTTATTCATATATATCTATTTAAAATAAAACCACCTGAAGTATTCCTGAGGGCTAGTACTTTAGACTTTATTTCGTTATCACTGAGTGTTGGTAACATTTTTTCCTTTGATTTTTTCATATCAACCTGTTTTATGAGCCACAAAAATCCCTAGTGATGAGTAATAGATCATGCTTGTTATTATTACACATCTTAAATTTCACATCTGCTGGAGACGATCAGCTTCTTAATAGAAGTAGCTAATAAGATGCATGTTATGTTATTGTATTAATAAATAATGAAAAAAATAATTATTATTTCATTATCCTCTACTCATTAGAAAGATCAAGAGGTTGTTCCCATCCCTTGCGAAGATATAGAGGGTCTTCCTTTGCTCTAGTTAAATCGATAACAATAAATTCCCTAGCAAATTTTTATCAAATATATTGATAACATCTTGTATATTGTCAGGCAATATTAACTAGTTCATCATATGTTCCACTACCATTAAAGAGAACAATATAATTGAGATTTTTTCTTATTAGTTTAGGACTATTAAAAAAACTTTGTGTTATATATACTGAACTGATATTAGCATGTCGCCCTTCACTAAAATATGGAGCAATTTTATCTTGTATTTTTTTAGGCTCAGTACATAAATCTTTGAATACAACTACTGTTTCTCTTTTAGGAGAGAAATCGTTAATTTTTGGCATTTTATCAGGCTTCATTGCTCGGAACGTAATATGGTTTTGGACTATTTTCAATTATTTCATAACAATGTTTTAGATATTTGTATTTTGGCTTATTAATATAATGTCCGATCAAAATCAAATCGTTATTCTTAATATATCTTGTTCCACTTTTTTTCCCATTAAACAATTGATACATCATGTTTCCAAGTAAAGGTTGATAGCTTCATTAGTTTTCTTGATCTGGTTCATCCACTAATTAATAAGTTAAAAGGCCATTGGAGCATACTGTTTAATGGGTTAATATTTCTGGATTATTATATTCATCGATGTTTAAAACTATTCTCTCAACAGGGTCTAGCTTTTCTATTTTCATATTGATCAAGATAAGTAATGCTAAATTGTTGTTTTGCAGATACAAAGTATTTACAGTATATTGAAAAATAATGATCTTATAAGTTTATTCTTTATGTGTTAAATAACTCTTCTCTTGTAATTTGCTTTTTATATATAATAATAAATCAGCATTAAAGCCAATTTCGATGAGATCTATACCTTCTCTTTTGCATATTTCTGCTTTTTTTCATCACACTTCCTTTGCTCATCTAAGTCTATCTTGCCTCGTTTATGGAACATTGGATTTTTAGAAAAATTTTGAAACCCTGGAATTCGAATGCCAATTTTAATTCTTCATTATACTTATTTAACTGCATTCCATTCAAAAATGATAGTTTACAAGATGAAATTTCTTATCTAACAGATCTTTGAAAATATATCTACAGCGACGCTTATCTGTGTGATGAAAGCAAAGTGGGCACCATTCAAAATTCGTAGCTATTGATGGATATGGATATTTTCACTGATGCTTTCCATTTTCACAGGATCAGAGATATACATCTAAATCATTTATTTGGTCAGTTTTACCAAGACATTTTCCGTCACGCTTCTTTGCATACTCTTCAGCCTTAGCCATTTTATTAATAATACAAATGAAATTAACAGATTTTGAGCGAGTGTTTTCTTCCAATATACTCTGGGATGGGTACTGAAGCGTATCTATATTTACGTGCATAAGCTCTTCTCTCAAAAATTCATGCTTGGAACATATTTATCATCATCATCTCCGAGATAATATAAAACTGATTCATTTTTCATTACTACAAATTTTGAATTTTATATAAAGATGAAAACGTCGGGTCCGTAGCTCTTTTCTGGTTTTTCATAACCCCTTCCTCTCCACATTAGCAAGTATGTAATGAACACTATCCCCTTTTTTCAACTTATTTTTCTTATATATTGTAGATGGTATAGATTCTACTTGTTCTAACTGAATGGCCAGCTTGGGAGCTAACCACTTTGTAGAACCTGAAGCTCTAATGAGGCGCATCGGATAATTATTTAGGTAATCGATGACTTCTGGCAAGTACTTCACCCATGCTCTTATTAATTTAGTATCTCCAGATATACTTTCGACAGTATATTAAACTTTATATTGTATTTCCGCTAGAGTTTTATTAAAGCATTCTACAAGGGCTAATCCTTAATGGCTATATGTATCAATCACTTGAATTGTGACATTATGTGCTTCCATTAATCTAGTAGATTCATCCATAAATTCTTTACCACTATCACATTGTAGAAGTTTTAAATAAGTAAAATGATTATTAGGATCATTATAAATTTTCTTAAAGGCTTTAGCAACTTCAAAACTATTTTTTGATATTAGAGGAACATTTGCCTTGAACCTGCTAACCATATCTATAATTTGCAATACTGCTTTCCATGTCTTCCCCTTATATTTATCATGCGTAAAAAATAAAAGGCTGTATTGATGTACATAATTTGGACATGAAATTTTACCATAACTAATTCGTGTAATATTTTTCTGTGACAGAGCATACTTTTGCCATTTATTCTGATTATGCAACCATTTACAAACTTTTTTATATGGGAAATTATATCCTTTATCACTGATAGCATTATACAAATTTCGAACATTGGAATTATAACTAGTACATTGATAAAAAGCAATTTACATATTAAGTTTTCTTCCTTATTTGGATGGATTCTAATAATAGGCTTGCTCAATTTACTTATTTTTGATATTATTTATTATAGTAAAAATTATGTTTAGCAAAGTCAGAGATAAGTCAAGAGGAAAAGTCTCCTTTCTATAAAAGATATAATGTCATAAAAATAATCATGACATTTCACAAACCCCAACCTTCCAATCGAACAACTAATAAACCAGCTATAGATAAAAAACTTGAGCTAGAAAAATTAACCAAGAACTCCAGGAAATATTACAATCAGAGATAGCCATTAACAAATCGAATAAGAAATATATAAAGGATTTGGAATGTAAATATACTCAATATAAGAAAGAAATCCAATCCCTAATAAAGAACTAGAATGGCTTGAAAATACTTTAGAGAAAAAAATGCAGAGTTTGATATTGAAGATATCATCTCTTAAAAAAAGCTTATATTAAGTTAAAAAGGATATCTGAGATAAGATATCCTATATTGATAATATAAAGAAGTATTTACAAGAATCAAAAGAATGGGTTCAAAATTTAAGATATAAATTCAAAGTTATTTCTTCTTGAAGAAGATTTTCAAGTTATATAATTCAAAAGAGAAAAATATAGATATAATAAATTTTGATTTTTTTGTACAAATTAATTATGACTTGAACCATATTAAAAATTTTCTTGGAGGTACTGAAATATTGTTAAATAATCCTATAAATATTATAAATAATATTAGAGATTCTTAAATATCATTTGTTTTAATTGTCAAAATATATATCAAGATATATGGCATTCATACCCCTAGATTTGGTAGCCTAAGCCAACCGAGAGCCTATGGAATGTCTACTGGGAGATTTAGGAGTCATGTCCCATTTGGTTAGCAACTGAGCCTTCAGATTTGATAGTGTGTGCCAACTATAGGAACAACTCTCAGAATATTTACTAGGAAGTATAGGAAAGTAAAACCGTGGGTACTATGAATGCTTGAGCTCGAGGTGTGAAAGTGATAAGGAACTTAGTGACAGTTAACATGCTTACCATTAACAACCATCCAGTAAAAATTGGAAACCAAGCCCTTGAAATTTCCCACCTGATATATGGACCTATCTCCTTGGTGTAAGTAAGTATAGTTGGGTTATAATAAGGCAGTACTAGAATTAGATTAACTAAATAGTTAGTCAGATCTTTCATGTAATGACCATAAACTAAAGTTTAATAAATGTCTCACATGTGATGTGCTTTGCCTAAAAATATATATATATATATATATATCAAGATATAGATAGTGTTATTGCTTAATGATATAACAGAAATAATCAAATAGTTCAGCTACGACAAAATATAATTTTTAAATAACAAAATAATATATTTAGAATTAAACCAATTATTTATTCAAAGGCAAGATACCTTGCAAAACTATGAGTGATACCTTGCAAAACTATATCAATCAACTTATATTAAAATAAAATACCTTGTAGAATTATATCAATCAATTTTTTCAATATCTTAATTAAAGTTAACAAAAATATAATTTGCAAGGATATTTGTAGTTTAATATAAATCTAATATGGGATAAATAATCAAAACTCAAACATGTTCTTGAAATATTTATAAGATATTTATTTATTACTTAAAATAGGAGCTATAACAATATTGAGCTGATAAAGGATTATTAGAATATAATTAAGATTAGCTCTTTAATAGATATTATAGTAAATTTAAAAATCAGAAGTCATATTAAGTAGAAAAATAGAAAGTATAATTTATAACAATTAATTTTAAATTTGAATTAACAAATTTTTATATTTTAGAATAATTTATCTGTAAATAATCAATATAGAGAAATAGTTGGATATAAACTATCAAAATTTCATGGTTGGACTGAAAAAGATTCAAAAGTTTTTTAATAATAATATGAGACTACTAATTATAATTCAGATGCAGGTCATCAATACAAATAAGAATTTATAGTAATTTTGAAACTTGTTTATTAGGTAATACAAAAAACTTGTATAAAACCAATGTCAAAGACAAAAACCAAAAATTAGAAAATATTAGTAACAATTATAGTACCTATGCAAATTTCAATGCTCTTAATAGATTAACTAATAATTAAATATGTGCTATTAATATAAATCAGTTTAGAAATGGTACTCTTTAAATTCAAAATACTTCAATAGCCAATAGAAATTAACTTTCTATATCACTAGTTCCACTTCATACTATATAGTTTATGAAAAATAACTAATATCAGATGGACAACCAATAAACTTGGCTTCAAATATTTCCAATACTTTCAATACCAATATAAAAGGTAATATTATAGCTCCAAAATTTTTTTAATTAAGTATTAAATTATTTTAAGCATATATATTCTATAGTTATAGCTGAAAAATTACAATTAATATTTACTATTCTTGTTTAAAGCTCTAATCATATAGGTCATTTTTATATAAATTTAAAAAAAATAATTAAACTGGCTTATTCAATATTCAGAATTAAATTAGAAAACAATAATTAGACAATAATTTTTTCAAAAACTTTTTTTTAATAACAAAATAAAAGTAAAATATATTGATTTTAAATATTCAATTTTTACTTTACTATTAAAATTAGAAAAAATTAAAAAACAGAAGGCTGAAATAATATTAGGTTAGTATAATTCAAAATCTTATTCTATTGTATTATTTCTTAATTACAATTTAAAGATAATATAAAAGATTCTTATATAATTAATAATACTAATATAATTAAAAATATTATAGAAACTTTGAAAAATTTATAATATAAACTTAACTTGTCTTATAAATTATCTTTTTTAAATCTCAGAAGAATCAGATTATATTTTTATAGAATGATTTCAAAAAAATTATAATGGGTTTTTTTTAAAGAAACTATTATATAAAATATAATAAAATTTGAAGAAATCTTCTGGATCAGAAAAACAAAAAGCTAATAAACTTTCTATAATGTTTTAATAGTACAAATTTATCAAAAAAAAGCTTATAACTATAATTTCATTAAATAGTTAAATTACAATTTAAGAAGTTAAAAATTAATCAGACAAAAATAGCTCAAGAAATATATGCAATTTTAAGGTCATTCACAAAAACAAATCTAAATGTTTTAACAAAATTAAGTTTAAAAGAAAGATAAGATTAATTTTGTTACTAAAAATTCAAATTCTGAGTCTAATATTGAATTTTTTGATAATTCTACTTTAATCTAAGTTTTATTATAAATTTGATTCTAAGAACAACTTAATTAAGACTGAAATCTCAAAAACTATCAGTGTTGTTAAATAAAAAAAAAACAAAGCAAAAGAATAAATCATCCTTTAAGAAAATATTCCAATCTTATAAGACTAAACAAAAAGTATTTTCATTTCTAAAGAGCTCTTACTTCTATATTAATTAAAGAAATTTAAATTTAAATATAAATACTTATTGAACCTATGGATCTATAACTCAGTGGTTAGAGTGCCATAGGTCAGTATCACAAGCTACAGGTTCAAATCCATTAGGGGGTTAATGTGATTCCCCAAAAAATCACGTGGGAATCTGTATGTCATCGGCCTAATCATATAATAACCGATGCTTTCAACTATAGAAAGACTGATCTATAAGAGGATTGTAATATGATCGAAAAGTCTGAAATCAACTAGAATTATCCTTGACATAATCACATTGCCATAAGGTAATAAGAAGAGTAGATTTCAAACTAATAGAATGCCTTTGAGGAATTCCTAATGGCTATGTTGAAAGATACCAATTAAGCATTTGATTATGCATGTTTCACAGACTTTACTATTGGGAGGCCTTGGTGAGAGGTGAAAACCGTGGATCACTCCAAAGGACTGAAAACCAGGATTCAGAATACTGTAATCGATGATCTGATAATCAAAATACTCTTAATAAAATTGTTCTGAAAAAAATTAAAACAGATTTGCATATCTTTCTAAAAACAGAATGGTTTACCTGTTGGCCATTCAGGTTTAGGTAGTAGTTATACATAACATTAAGTTAGATAATATATAGCTAGTCATATATAGATAAGTTAACTATAAATATATATATATAATACTTGTTAAGTATATGTGGCACTGCCTTAAAAAGTTTCAGTAGAGTTAGTATAGTATTTTGAATAAATGGTGCTACTGTAATTGTACTGAAAGTATATATTTCAATAAAAGATATGGCACATTTATAAATACTTAATTAGTAACAGAATACAAAATAATAAACAGAAACACAATACTAATTACAATCATCTATTCAAAAACTATTATATATAAGCTAATGGAGCCTTGGCATATTAGCTCAAGCCTTTATCTTTGGACAAGCTGATAGCAACAAGCCTATATGTAAGTTATTTAGATATAGCTTTATTCACATATAGTAAACTATATATAATATACAAAAATGTGATATATATAAAGTATTTAAAAGTCAATAAAGCAAGATCCAGCTGGTGTTTAAAAATAAAATAAAATAAAAAATAAATAAAAATAAATATTTATCTATTTTAAATTTTACAAATTTTTAAGATTCAATTCCAATAATATTTAATTCAAATAAGAAGAATAAAATTTTAAATGATCCTATGGAGATAAAATTTATCTATCAAAAGAAACAGTAATTAGTATTATAACTATATTAGTTAAAATTAAATACTTAAAAATTTTAGCATTAATATTAGATAATAGTATCAAATCTATTATAACATGAAAAGTGGTGACACAAATATTACTAATACTAGTTATTAAGATATATTATATGCTATAATTAAAAACAAGCCATATCAAAACAATGGATAACACACATGAAAAAGATAGGAGACTTTAATAGAGAAAGCATAACATAAGCAGAAAAAGATCAGGTAAAGTCATATGATCTGTCTTTACTTAATAAAATTAACTAATTATGTAATATTATAACAAAAATGATAATATGTTATATAATAGCTTTACTGCAATTTAATATTTTACTTTACTTTTTATTTTTATTTTTTATTTATTATATTTTTTATTGTCAAATCTTATGTAATTACTGAATTTAATATATAAAAGAACCATGTTGTAAAAAAAAAAAAAAGAGATATTATTAAAGAACAATTAATAAAAAATTCATTTTTTGACCATAATCAAATCTATTTTACCTATAATAAAAACATTTACTTTTATTATGCAAATCTTAACTTTCATTAGTAATAGACTTGCCAATAGCAGTAATATTATACATGTAGTAAAAATTTATAGATCTTTAATGCAATTTGATGCAATTATTTGATACAATTAATTGAGTCACTATTAAAATATATAAAATAATTAAGTCAGATACTATTATTTTTAAGAATTTTGATAATTGAATTAATAGCAAAATAATTTATACCATATATATAATATACAGCCCAATCTATACATTCAAATGTGAGAGTTTCCAATTGTCTAACAATCATCATAACACCAACTGGATGATTATTACACCACTGCATCTTAACAAAAGATTACAATTTTAACATCCACTTATACATATGATAAAAATATGTAGATCCTTGATATAATTGATGCAATTATTTGACACAATTAATTGAGCACTATTAAAATATATAAAATAATTAAGTCAGATGCAATTATTTTTAAAGATTTTGACAATTGAGTCAACAGCAAAATAATTTACACTACATGTATACATCCACTGGATTAATATATAAAATGGCTTCTTATAAAAAATAGCACATAACTGGTTATGGTATCAGATATCATATTAGTTCTGTTTAATCACCTTTATATAGGATTGAATTAATATTTTATGATCTGATCTGCGAAACATTAACTACTGTACTATGGATCCACAGGTCTTTATTTTTTTTAAAAATAATTTTATTATTATTTTATAAAATTAATATTAAAAATCTTATTTATAAAAAATAATAATGTTATCCCTTAAACCGTACATTTTAGCGAGCAAATTTGCCCGCTTAAATAATTTTAAAAAATTATCTCCTACAAAAAATTTTTTATATAAACGGGATAATTTAAATTGACTAGGGTGATTTTCAGAAATGAAGGGCACATGATAACTCTGTAACCACATCGTGACATTTGATATATGACTCAAAAAAAGTATACAAATTTGAGTCATGTAAAATTTGATACGTTTTGGCCGTGAAGCATTCCAAATGATCAATCTTATAAAAATTCTTGGCAATTCAGTTCTGTATACTTCATATCGTAACAAACAAAAATTACTATATAATATGGGTACTTATTTATAATAAAATTTTAAATTATTATGATAGTTAGGTCAGCTAAATTAATGTTTTTATTTAAAGATTAATTTAGAACATTTTCAATCAATAAACTGATAAATGAATAAATAAATTTTTTTTTTGTTTGTTTTCTTGCGAAATTTTAGATTATTCATTATTTCAAGAAATTTATAAAAATATATACACAATTTTTAATTCAAAAAAAAAGTTTATCATTAAATTCTTTCTTGTTGTAAAGTATGAAAACCAATAAAACAATTCTAATTATTATTACAACAGAGAGGTACATTGCAAACTACACATCAAAGCTGACTTTGATATGGCATTTTACGATCCATATCCAATTTTTTTTTGTTTGCCAACCAAATGCACCATTGGCATGCTTCTCGTTTCTCTCTCTATTCCAGAAAATGATTTCCAGGTGCCAATCGTCAATTTGAAAGCTCAAAATTTTTTGTTACTCTTGACCGTTTTGTTTCTTTTTTTATTTCTTTTGTTTCTCTTTTTGAGCCAACTCTCAATTGAACTTCCGTGATATCATTCGCAAAATCTATAAGATCCCAAATAAGTTCACAGCGAAATTCTTTTTGCTCTTGTGTCGATCCTAACGTTGGGGCAATCCAATAGGCATTAATTATTGCAGTATCTAACAGCCAAAAAAAAAGAGGCACCCAACTCCATCAAACTGTTTGTTGTGTATTGTAATACAATCATAATTGGTCTGCAACATCTATTCCATTCATATTGTGGTTGTAATCATCAATTATTTTGTGGATTTTTAATTTTTTTTTAAATTCAGAGTCAAAAACTGTATGCACTTACAATAATAAAAAAATTAAATAAAAAATAATAATTAAAAAAAAATAAAATAAAATTCAATCCTTCGCGACATTGATACTTGTTTCTCTTAGTTGTCGCCTTTCATGTTTTATCTCCCATTCCTCATCAACAAGACCATGGATTGTTGATAACATTGTTACTGGCCCATTATCTTGCCAAAAAACTAATAATACACCATTTACTATAATATCAGAACGAATATCCCAATCAAGTTTGACATTTTTTTCTATTCTCAACTCTTTTGGAAATCCTGAAGCTGTTTTACAGACAGTTCCACAAGCACCAATACCTAATTGCCGAAGATTTTGAAATAGAGGGACATTAGAAAAATAATTATCTATATAGACATTGAATGAAAATCAGTAATAAGGAAGTTGCGTAACGAGATGGTGAACAAGATACCCAACTTGATTAAGGCCGTTCACTTTTGGTACACCACTTGGAGAGATGTGCGATATTGGCAAGAAAGTATATGTATATCCTGATTCGCAAAGTGATAAGATTTTGAAACTCTCAGGAGTTGGTTTATTCTTTATTCTAACCATATGAACACTCCTTCCAGAAAATCATACCATCATTTCATTTACTGAAACGTTTGAACTTGGAGTGTAGAGTTGTTTTGATACATCATGGATTTTTGAGAGTAATGGCTCTAGTTTTTCAAAGTAATTGTTGATTGTAACTGTGGGAGAAGAAATATGCTTTTATTTTTTGATTTGTTCAAAACGAAACAATAACATTTGCTTTGAAATATTATGGATTGGGAGTTTTGTATTCTCATTCCAGTATTGATTGAGGGAAGGTGAATTAAAAAGTTCTTGATAGATGATCAAAGTGATTCAAATAATAAGTTCTTTACGATTTATGTCTTGCCAAGGCCTGCCAACACTGCCGGCATTTTTTAATTGTGAATATAAATTCGTATTTGCAACTATTGTGTCTAAAATATTGTTTGTAAAAAAAAGAAGGAAAAGATTGATTGTTTTTGAAAAGTTGGCCTCATATTGTGGTGGCAAATTTACAAAGGCATGATACAGTAATCTTGGATGAATAAAATAATTAAAATTATAAGGAGATGGTGGTAGTTGTACCATTGTTCTGCATCTACCTCTATAAACACTTGTGGTATCCTCTTTCTCATCCTCAAGGTCTGATTTTAGATTTTCCAAAGAACGTTGGTGAAATGTCAAGAGTGGAACATACTCTTCATCATCAATGGCATGCACTTCTGTATTTTCGAGAGGAAATGAACTTAAAGTTGAACTTGAAGGTAATGTGTTCATTTTAATCAAAGAGGACATAATCCCATAATCCTGGAAGTTATTTTTGGAGAGTGAAATTTTAGATTTTTGTTAGAAGAACTGTGGGAAGGAAATCATAGGGCGATCGGCAATGTAGCACATTCAGATATTTGTATAAAAAAGAGGGGAGGTATGCTTATAAAAATCTTTTGTAGTTATATAAAAGCAGATCAAAAATAATTTAAGTGGACAAATTTGCTCGCTTAATGGTTTAAGGAATAATTTAAGATAATTGTTTGTTAATAATATAATCATATGATTAAGAATAGGTCCCAAAACTATTTAATATATAAAATCTTACAAATTAATTATATCTTTTTGGAAGAAACATAATTATTTACTTTTTACTTTAATAGGAACATAATTTAAAAAACATTTAAATTAGATAACCTAAACTATAAAAAATTTTTATAAATAGTTGTTTTTAATTTTTATATTAAAAAAATTTTTTTTAATAATAAAGAACATTTGAATTATATCCTTATATTTAGTTTAGAAACCTATCTATATATGTAATTATATAATTGTCTCATGAAATTAAAAAAATCTTTTGAATTTCTATAGATTATACAGTAGGGGACAAAAAAAATTGCCTAAAATTAAAATTTTATTTTTATTAATAATTTAATAAATATTTAATTAA